GTAGACAGCGGAATGGAGCAAACCACGCCTCTTATGCGGATCTTCCCTTTATACAACAACGTGGCCCTGTTCACCTTACACAGATTTGGAACCTTTCACTTTGTAAATCATGATGTGAAAAATCAAGCGAGCTTGTCTTTGTATACTAGTGATTGCTTTTTCATAGAATTGAGCTCTACATCCTTTTTGCTGATTTGGTACACAAGGAGTCGGCGTGACTGCTGGAGAGATTATATTGGAAGCTCGGCGCGCAATTATCGTTATTTTACAAAGGTTTTTTCTCGTTTTGAAAGAAAGTATAGGTTTTTTCACGATTCTTTCCAAACGCTCACATATCTTTTATGCATATAATAATGACGTTTTTGATGGGATTGCACTGAAAATCTAAATGAGCCTCTACCTAGTCGCAAGTCGTCGCGTTGTTGCTCGCTCTCAAAATGGAAGTGATATCGTGTAGAGTTCCAAGTATCGTTCTTCCTTCGCAACCCAATCTTTTCACAAGCTAAAAAACATTGGTATGATGAATGCCAATCTATAAGTTTACATTTTTGCGATGTTTAATTCTTTTGTCTCAGTGGCATTTGTCCATCGCCTTCAAACTTTGGCAAGGTGATAAAAATTGAAACACCTCTACTCGGTCCATAAATTTATAGATAATGTGAGTGGCTGGACCAAGGGGTTGTTGGAAAGCTGTGTTAGCCGTTCAGACGACCAAATTTCCGAGAACTCTTGAGCGCATTTTATTCACTTTTAGTCTTGTGAGATTGTAGAAACATTGAATCATCTCTGACAGGTAATTTTCTAATTTTGCTCCCATTCTTAGTTATGAAAATCAAAGCTAAATTTACGTATACCTGCAGATCTTTTTGCTCTGCGATTAATGAGTGCACATCTCTTTGTCGTCTATCCGAGTTTGGAATCGATTCCCTTATCTGGTCCCAGCTCCAGCGCTCTAAAAAAACTCATTTCTGGATAGTTTTTGAGGTCTGAGTATTCGTTCGATAGCCTACATCTCAGAAAAACTTGAAAATATAATTTATTTTCAAAAGGCCTCTTGATGCTTTGTAGTAGTAAAAACATAGATTTTCCGTTGAACTTTAGGAAACCATTTCATGGCTGTGATCTCGTAGATTTCAATAATGTGCTTGTTTTTTGAAGTAGTTTTTTGGTACGCTAAGAAGATTGGGTTAGCATATTTAGATCATCTCCGTAATTCGTACCCTTTCTTTGATCTCTTGAGAAAAGTGCACCTATTGACTTATTCTCATGCTTCAGCAACCATCTAAAAGCTCAAATTCTTAAGATTTCAATGTTGTGCTTCCCTCCAAAACAGGTTTTCCGTTGACTGTAGCGGCAAAAATAAAATGTTTTTCATTAGAAACTTTTCGCTGAACAAGGCTTTTTTCTAGATTTTAAGTAACCAATCGATATCTTGAGTCTCGTCAATTTTATAAAGCACACTTTTGAATCTTCTGAGATCTAAGTCATCGAATGACTACTTAAACTTCAGAAACCACCGATAACTAAGTTTTTTTCCGAGCCCTCGAACTGGGACCTGATAATGAAGAGTACCGGCGTTTAGGCAGAGTTGACGTTGCCGGAGATGTCGATCCCATCGCAGAAGCTGGGGAAGCAGGCCGAGGAGCTGGTGCGGGTTCGTGACGCAGGAGCTGGAGGAGTTGGCGCCGGTTGTGGTCCACATGCCTGAAGGATCACGAGCGTCTCTACGGCACTCATCAAAGCGGTCACCTTCGTTCATCGCAAGGGCATCATTTAAGAAGACGAATCATGATGGATCCAGAATGTGGTGCAATTGCAGCAATTTACTTCTTTTATTCCGTCGTTGTCCAATGATTTCATCGAAAATCCTATCTAGATTCCACATTCATCAAACGACGCTTGCAAATGGTTGAGTTATTCCTCCTAGAGTAAACACTTATTTCCACTTTAAATTATCATATTATCAATCTATTAACGGATTCTTGTACAAACACCTCAAAGCTTTTCTGGTGGCCTTCTTCGTTTTGAACATAGTTACTAAAGTTTTTGAAGACAGAAATAAGATTTTTCCTTTGCTTTTCTCCGTTTCAAGCACTTTGGAATTTTTTAACCACACCTCTCTTCGTATCCGTTTCTTTCCTTTTTTGGAGAGCTCAGTACAGAACTAGTCATCACCAATCTTTCGACTTTTGCTTATTCTAATCACAAGGCTGGAAAGAAAGTTTCCATTCTGATAAAAACATTCAAAATCTATAAATATATTCAGATAATAACCAACATCAACCATTCTTCAATATACAGGCCATCATTATTTACCAATTTTTGCCATCGGTCCGCCAGGTTTCGGATCTCATCGAAGTACCACTCCTTTGGCTTTGAACCAAAGAACTCTTGATTCTTCTTCAACTTCATCGAAAGATTCAAATCGCGACTTTCCAAAAATTGTTGCTTTGGTCGAAAAGGCCGTAATCAAATGGAGCAACGTCCGATCTCGGTCTGTCGGTCAACTCTTCATTTCCGGCCTAATGAACTCACGAAATCACTCGCAGACTGTTGAAATTCCAACCGTACGGTCGCCCCAAGCTTTCTTGATTCGGGGAGCAGCATCAGAAGCATTTGAACCGAATTTATGCTCATGAGGCATCAACAAACGTTTTTTGTTCCCTGGACAATTCCATTCTGCGGCAGATATAGATAAATTTTATCAATTGATATGCACGAAGTAGACCTTTCAAAAGATATGAACATCATACACGATTTACGCGAAAAACTTCATTTCCATCCGAACGATGGGAAGTTTCTTTCCAGCTCAATAAGTGATACGTTCTCAAGCAGAACTGTGTTGAATGAAAGATGTCGAACAAAGAGACCGTAATGTAACAAATGATGTCTGCCATTCTAACAACGAGTTGGCTGCATCGCTTTGTCAATGTTCTCCTTGCTCTTTGATAATATTTGGTTATTCCGTTCGTTCTAGTTCAACGATACTGTTATATTAACGCCACATATCATTTCAACACTGCCAATGTGATATATTGATCATTGATTAGAAATAATTTTTTTCAACGAGATCTTATTGTGGCAGATATTTATGCTATGGGTCTCATATTCGGTAGCTATGTGAATCTGATATAGTTGAGAGTCTCTTGGTGATAGTGACAAAAATGGTACCTTATGCTTGATAATTACTATTAAGCCATGCTTGTGGTCTGCTATGTGGCGGCATATTGTGGGCACGTGTGCAGTGCAATACACGTGTTTCGGACTTGCAGCCTCGTCAGTTGCGCGGTGTCTTTCGTTTTGAACCAATCCACATTGAGCGGGAGCTGCCTTACATACAGGAACCGCAGATGTAATATTTAAACACGCCCTCAAGCGATAAAAATGACCAAACATACAGTGCTGTACACTCGATTGCTTTTAGCTATTAATCATGAACTACCACAGTATTCGTCTCGAGTGTTTTTCTAAAAAGGATTCGCTGTGGTTCCTCCAAGAAAGATTGGCTCAAGCGAAAGGCACCCTGCAACTGACGAGGCTGCAGGACCGAAACACGTGTGTTTGTATAAGTGCCCATAACAGACCTCAGGCGTGGCTCAAGAATAATTATCAGGCACACTGAAATTTGAACGTGGTCCCAAAGAAAACACTCAACAAGAAGTGTACCTTAAACTCTTAGACTGGATAGGACTAACAGGTCAGTGCAAAAGTAATCGCGGTCTCAAACGGATTTCATCAATACATAAACAGCAATTACTTTGCACCAACCTACTGTAAGGACGTGCAGTCAAAGTGCCATTTTAAAACCAAAGTTGAGACAGATTTAATCCTTATTACTATGAACACGGTACATTTGAACTCTCGGAGAACCTCAGAAAGAAATTGAACAATGTTTTTCAAGTGATTTACTGTTGATGTTGAGATCTAGAACTGCGAGCTAGAACATACTAAAGAATCTCTTTGCTGCTCTGAAGAACATCAAATTGTATGGAGTTATTTGGCTCCAAATGAGCATGCAAATCGCTTTTAAGATATTTATATCATTGTTGTAAGCGACTTTGCTTTTCGTAGACGATCCTTTTCCAAAGGTCCATCGGAACGTCGTTGAAACCAGCCATCAATTGCGCCGTCGAACCAAGGTTTATTCTTATAATAAGGCGAAGGTGATTTAGCCATCAATGATTGTCCTACATCGTCATGTTCGAAGCCCATGTCAATATGACATATTCGAGAGTAGCTGTAAATTATATGGAAAAACGTTGCCACGTTCGCCTTCATATTTTCTTTTACAGAGTCGTCCACGTCGATGTTAATAATTCTGAATAATCGTCAATGTTTTGACTCTAAAGTAACAATATGGCCCCCAAGAGATTATTATGTATCAAGCGCAAAGTTCTTTCTATCTACAATTTCCATCATCACTTCTTTGTCAACTGACGAGACATTTTTTTCTCGATAGAAGTGTGATACTGGCCTTTTTTCTTCTCTCTCTCTCTCTCTCTGTCTAGATGGGTTTCGTATGATCCACCATGGTGGACGCCTTCCAAAGTGGGGATTCGCATGGCTTCCGCTGGATCAGTCCTCTTTGGATGAGTGAAGTGAAAAGCTCTTAGACAGCAGAAAGGAGACAATCACGCGATGTCACGCAACTCTTTTCTTTTGTGCAACAATGTGGTTCCTTTTAGGTTACACATACTTGGAACTTTTCACTTTGACAGTTAATGTGTAAAAAATTAAGCTAGTATAGAGACGTGCACTGATAATAGCTTTTTCATTGATTTGAGCTCCACATCCTTTTCGTTGATTTGGTACTCAGGAAGGTTGACGTGACTATTAGAAATTAGATTGGAAGTTATGAGTTTTTTTTTTTCTCCACAGCCTGTACATAAACGGAGTAGTGGTGTGCAGGTTCGATTCCCGTCTGAGGTTCACAATTTTGCACATCACTCAACATTATTTGCTTATATGTCCAAGAGAATTGTGTGGTCAGCAAAAAACACGGCCTCAAGCGGGAATCGAACTCGCGCTTCATCTATGCCGGGGACGCGTGTAACTACCATTACACGACCGATGCACATGTTCCGCCACCACTCATTTTTCAACTCTCTTTGTTAGCTATCAGCCACCAACATTTAACAGGTTTACTTGGATATGAATTTCGCTTTGTAAACCCAGTTGAGCTGACAGCCACTGTTAGATGTGATACTACTGATTTCTAGCATTTTTACTGCTTTTTTCGTAGTGTTGTAATGTTACATATATATCTAAGAGAACTGAATGATGAAAACACAGCCTCTGGCGGGAATCGAACCCCGCTTCATCCATAATGGGGACGTGGCTGTCAGCTCAAATGGGCTTATAAAGCGAAATCGCATATCCGACCAAACCTGTCAAAGGTTTGTGGCTGACAGATAACTTAGGGCTGTTGAAGAATGAGTGGTGGCGCAAATGTGCCTCGGTGGTAGAGCACGCATCCCCGAATAGGACGAAACGCGAGTTCGATTTCCGCCTGAGGCCGTGTTTTTGCTCACCACTCAATTCTCTTAGAAATTCCATAATGGTTTCTTCTATGATATAGCTAATATCTTGTCGTTGATATGAAATATCCGGTTAGTGTTTAGACGTCTACGCTTTCTTTAGAGACTCAAAATACCGACGATTGTTTTCTCATTGTGGAGCTGGTCGCTCTTATTAGCCTAAGACTACCGTTGTTGAAGCGTTCTGGATCTTAAATGGCAAAAATTTTATTGTGATGAGAGTCTCATGGGAAGTGGTAGAAGGAGAGATTTTCACATAGATGCTCCTGGTAGATCAGAACTGTTCGATCGATATATTTCCTCGTCATTTCTCTCGTAAAGATGTCGTTTTTTACGTTAAATATTTATTCTTTGAAATTTTAGATGATGCGACCGACAACATCGCGGGGTCTGAGTTCAACAACGACTAATCGTCGTCGGTATAGGTCGTGCCCTCCTCGAACCAAAGCTTTTCCAGGTTTCAGCTCTTTTCTTTTTATTTTGTATATGTTTCCCCTTTTTCTATGTACGTCTCTCTTGTTGTTTCCGTTTGTCGCTCTTTGTCTAAGCTCGCAAGTGACTCCCGGAGGTACATATACGTCGCGCACAAGGTCGATTGTTCAATCCCGCGCTCATCGCTCACCAAGCCATCCATACCTCCGGGGTCAGGAAATTGGCACCGGAAAGGTCTCAGACTTGTCTGGGAGGATAGGCAGCATTGACTTGATTCGTCGGTAGGCCACCGCGAGTCATTCTAAAGACCAAATATGCATTCAGTCGTCTCGAACGATGCTAAAAATTCAAAGCAAATGCATGGCGCATCCCTCAGGGATTGTTCAACGCCGAGAGCTTTATCCCTTCTTCTTTATGCATGTATATAAATATACATATATACACCTATGTAAATACATATATACATGTGTATATATTGTTTATGAAGACCAAATTCCATTTGGTCTCTGTATCTATTCACGCCTTACACTTCATCTGACCAATTTCAAAGTTTATTCTACTGTTTGGATCACAGTACTTATAGCATGCAGTTCCTCTCGTTTATCTGAGGATTCTCTTCTTCACAAACGTCGTAAATACTGGTTATGCACGTCTTCTTCCAATTCTCGAGGATAGCCAGGCTGCGGCATGGCGCAGGGCGTTCGATATAAAATGCCGGAGAGTGCTCGGAGGCCGTGGGATCAGCCTTGCGCCATGCACTATCAACCACTCGGCCACAGCTCGCCCCCTCTCGGTTCCTGTACCGAACTTTTTATCTATTTTCAATGCTTTTTCCACAGGATCATATAATGTGGAATACAATCAGAAGAGCTTTGAGATATTGTTGATTGTATCGCGATACTCTTCTTGAAGTTGTGCGCTTGCCAACTGTTGCTTCTAAGCTGACAATAAGCTCAGGCTCACGTGAACTCGAGTGGTTCCACCTCTCCGCAAGGTAAACAAGAGAAGAAAGTAGCTTTCAAGATTGTTAAGTTTGCTAATTGTTAGCTTTCATGAATCACAATAGGAGCACATGTGGTGTAGTGGTTAGAGGTGCTCTGCGTCTCACACAAAATCCATAGTTCGATCTCGCGCCCATGGCTCACCAAGCCATCCATCGCTTTGGGGTCGGTATATTGGTACCAGACTTGTCTGGAACGATAAGCAGTATTGACTCGATGCAACGGTAGGCGATGGCGGGTCATTGTAAAGCACGAATATGCATTCAGTCATCTTTAGCAATGCCACGAATGGAGACGAATGCATGACGAAGCCCTCAGGGATTGTTCAACGCCGAGACTCTTATGATTTATGAACTACACTTAGTTTGGCTCTTTGTGTCATCTCATCGGACGCTATACGTTGAACAAGAATTCTTTACTCAATCGCTTCTTTAGCAGTCGTATAATGTTATAACTGCAGATTCAATAATGTTGAGTGTTATGCAAAACTGGGAGCCTCTTGCAAGAGTCGAACCCGCGCGTCACTGTCTTCGTGGGCGCATAACCACTACACTTCCGGGGCTGCTGTTCTGCCATCAATTTTTCACTCATTGCATAGAACCGATGAATGCTTGTAACACTTCTTGTTGTTTAGGTACTTCTACAGCTGAGGATCGGAAAATCAACTCTCCTATTCCGGTATCAATCTCGGTACGTTTCTTTAGACTCCTGACGTAGCCAAGATTGACCTTCTGTTTTCATAGTTTCGCTAAATTTCTCGCTAAATATCCTACTTTTGTTTAAAACCAGCAAGATAGATATACTAGGTCGTTGGTCTCGAGTATTTGCTTGAGACTATGCTCAAATTTAATATATCTCACAATTATTATTTGAGCCAACATGTCATGTTGTCTGTTAGAGGGCTCTTGTACAGCCCGACACACGTGTTTCGGTCTTGAAAGCCTAGTCAGTCGGGCAGGCTTTTCGTCTTTAGCCAACCCTCTCGAGGGTGCTCAACCCTTCTAAATTGGCGGCACGTGGATTTAGTACGTCGCCGCCTACACTATTTAGGAGTATGAAGCACCCCTGAGAGGACTGGCTGAAGACGAAGGGCCTGCCCGACCAACGAGGCTTCCAAGATTGAAACACGTGTATCGAGCTGTACATCAGCCCATAAGCAGGCCACATGACATGTTGGCTCAAATAATAATTATCAAATAGATGAATTAGGTGTCCTTAATTAAGTCATAGGATTCACTGAACTGTTTGCGATCTTCTTCGAAGAGCTTGTAGTGACCTGTTTTAGGGATCTATATAGATTCTTGAATTTGCTGCTTTTCATCAATGCTACGAGTTCCATATAAACAGAATGTTGCATGCAAGACATTTGATTACAGACGAGAGATCAACCTGCGTTTAAGCCATACTCGAAACCCGTCTACCACTACACCATCAAAGCCACAGCATGGCTTCCACTCTTTCTTCGGTATACACCATTGAAACTCAGCAACTAGGTTGAAAGTCGATATGTGCTTACCAGACGAAACCCACTGGATTGGCTGCTGTTAGCTTCGATAATTCATATCGCGGAAAGGAATGGTATCAAAGCGGTGGCCTTGATGGTCTAGTAGTATGACGCGTCCTCAGATAGATGAAACGCGGGTTCAACTCCCGCCTGGAGTCGAATGTTTTGCATATCACTCAGCTTTACTGGATTTACAGAATTTATTCATTTCTCGCCGCCTGACTGAGACAAAATTCTCAGGTACGATTTTCACCAATACTTCGAAGTGATGCAATGTTCGATGCGATTGTTGATTTCCTGAAGCGCAACACCTTTCCTACCTTCCGTTACACGCGCCGATGACGTGTTAGCTGCTAAGAAGTCATTCAAGTGAGATGAGTTTGACTCCGCTAGATGAAACCATTGGAAATTGTTTAGATAGGCATTATCACTTTGAGTACGACAGGCCCACGGCGCTAGCACGCCCTGTGGTGCTCTGTTAGCAGCCGGTAGTGCAGAGTGGTTGGTGATGCCAACATCGAGAAGAAAGTGTCTGGTTCGGATCCCCACCCCTACACTTCATGGCAATTCGTTGGGGTGTTTTTTCCCTTTAATGTCGACTAGTATACAAGATTCTTCTATAACATAATCATTGTAAAAAAAAATAGATTGCAGTTGTCTAGAAGTCTAAAATCTCACTACTTTTTTGCGAAACTTAAATTCAAAAGATAGCAAGGCATGTCCAACTTTTTTCGCTTATATTTCGACGATTATGTAAAAATCCGCACTCGATAGCACATATTCTTGTGCGGTGTACGACTTCTCCGAAGGAACTTTTATAGATCTCACCCTACGGATCTGCGTTTCGTATCAAAAAGTAGTAGTTTGTAGAAAAAACTGAAGGTTCTTGGTATAATAATCACGTTATGGAAAAACCTTCAAACTAATCGCCACCGAAAGATAATATAAAAGAACTTGCTACAAAGCGCCGTCGGTGGGGATCGAACCAGAAACCTCGTTCTCGATGACCTGCATCACTAACCAATCGACTCCATAAAACGCTAGACGCAGCCCTCGCCGCGGCGAGGTGGTGCGGGTGCCGTGGGCCTGTCGTACCCAAAGTGTTAAGTTATAGTCCTATTAATCAATAATGTCATCAGTTCAAAGTGATTGTAGAGTGATCGACAAGAAGTCTCTACTAACGCCTTTATGGCAGTGATATGATGTTATGACTATAGATCCATTAGTGTTGACCGATATGCAAAACTATGAACCGCAGGCGAAAGTCGAACTCCTCAGCCTTTCTGGGAGCGCTGGGAGCGTGAATGGAACTTGACATGGAGTGATACATGTTCGGCGTCGCCACCATTAGTTGTAGGGATGAGCGGAAGGACTTCTTGCGAGAAAACCGAAAAGTTCTTCTACGCTGAAGATGCCATATACCAAACTTCTTAAAAAGCTTAATTAGACAATGTTGAATTTTAAGCGAGGTCTCAAAATTGTCGATAGGAAAACATTCCTCTTTATTATATCTTTTATTGATCGCAAGACCTTAAGTGACGACAAAAATCTAAATTCTCTCGGGAGCTCTACTCCCTTAGAGAGAGTCATCGAAGACTAA